TATCTATCTATCTATCTATCTATCTATCTATCTATCTATCTATCTATGAAAAAAGACATTACCTTGGACAGAACAGGTTTTCCATCCTCGTAGTGGATCTCAACATAATCTGAAGACAGCAGGTCACTGATGGAAACAGAGGCCAGGGTCAGTTAAGACGCAGGAATGTGATGCAGTTGCAAGGAAAACACAGGAAGCCTGTCTGTGTGGTTAGGGTTAGGGTTAGTCATCTCTTGTGGTTTAAAGATTGAAAACTGCTTTGTTTGCCATTTGAGCAAGTCATTCATCCCCACGTGGTTCCACGGTTAGTTTGTGCAAACAGCTCCATCTAAAAAGTGCAGCTGAGAACATGAACTTCCCTCAGAAAAGCCCATGATGATCCTGCTCCCGGGGGTGATAATTTAGCCTTGCCACAACAACGCCAGATCTGGTAAGAGGCCTCTGTAACGCATGTAAACAAGCAAGGCTGCGATAAGATGAAGAAAGCTGTCTGTTAATGATGAGTGGCCTGTTTTTAGGGCTTTAGAATCCACGCAAATAATCAGAGGCTCCACCACTATCTTCCTCGGATTTCCTAAAATAACACCACATTGAGAAACAGGGCAAATTACAGGAACAGAAACAAGCAAAACAAACTTAGCGCTGCCAATGAGGAAGCTTCATGTGATAAACGACTGGGAAGCCTCAGCTTCACCTTGAACACAACAGTCCTCCTGGCAGCTGCTGCTGTCTGAGTCAGCGTCCCTCGCACACTCAATCTGTGAGCTGAATTCAGGAGGCTGCGATTTCTGCCACAATGGCGTATTTTTTTTCCAGTAACCTTGCAAATCGCAAAAAACACCCTCCTCCGCGTGGACGTGTAGTGTCGCAGCGTGGAAAACCAGAACAATATGGCATTTTTGACTGATGCCGAGCAGCACCTTAGACAGAAGTGCACCATTACGGGGGGGGGGTCGAGGCATGAGCAGCATCTCTAAGCGATTCCTGAGCGAGGGGCTATTTTTAGCCTGACAGACGAGGCACGGGAAGCAGAGTGAGCCACGCCACGGTGTGTCGGTGCGTGCATGTGTGGAGCGTTAAAGCCCCAGAACATGAGCACCTTGAGGTGTGTGTCTGCTTGAATGTCTGCGGGAGCTGTGATGCGTTGGGGATACGGCAAAGGGACTCCTGCCCTGAGGTCCCAACAGGAGACAGAGCGGCACAATGCAGCAGCAGCAGAGAGAGAGAGAGGGGGAGAAAGAAATAGGCAGCTCAGGGAAGTAAGAAATAGGTGAAGCAGACAAGGAGGACCAAAAACTGCAGGAGGCTCTCACGTTTGGCACCAGATCTAAGGAGGTCTCACAGCTAAACGCAAAGCATCCCTACTGTTCATCCAACACAGCAATCTGGTCCAGACCGGTAAAATAGGATAAGATCGATAAGATGCTCTAAGAAAAGGTGAGCGGTACTAAACCGTTTGCACTCCGCACAAGATCCACGGTCTCTCTTTGTAAGACTTAAAAAACTTGCCCGAATTATCTATCTTCACTAGCGCACAATTCTCTGTACAACAAGAGGTGAGCGGATAGAGAGGCACCCACTGGCAGCTCGCAGACCCATCTATATTTAGCTCAGTATTGTCGCAGCTACAACACTAAGCAGAATTCAAACCCCTGTTCTCACGCGGAAAAAAAACATCTCACAGATAACCAAACAGCTGGGTATGAAGGTCACGGGCCGTTCTGTTGCTGTGCACGGTGATTCCTGACACTGTGCGAAAAGGGAAAACCGTTGGGTTTACTGCATGGGTTTGTCCTCGTGGAGATAAGGCTTCCAGAACAACAGGATGAGAAATGATAGCTCTGCTATCCCACCAAAGTCCTCGTTTCCTTTCTCATAAGAAGGAGTGATTTCCAAACAGCGCAAAACCAACCAGACTTCTGGAGTGGGTTTGTTTGAATCAGGCTGTTTGCTCCTAACCACAGCTGAATTCTCCGCCTAAATGTTGACACTTCCACGATAAACTGTGACAAAGGCAAATAAAGCAATAGTGCCATGGAACAGTTAACTCAAAATGACTGCTTCAAATGCTTTTGAAGAGACTGCAAACCAGTCAGCAGTTCTGAGTCTTTCTACTCAGCCATCATACATGTAGGCTACTCTAAGGAGGAAGCAAATCAATAGCATTGAGTGGCCTGAATGGGACAGGGATGGCAGACCGTGGAACAATTGTTTCCCTGCTCATTTCAGAACACGCCCATTAAGACGCCCCGTCTGCAGTCTGGCAGCTAAGTACAACTGCTTGTAGCAGGACTGTATTGAATGAAACCAGCCTGCTGACAGATTGAATTATAGTTTCCCTGATTACATTATCTTCAGCTGAAACTGCATTAATAATTTACCAAATGTATAATACATGGCATTTACAAAGAACATCTGGTAAAAACATAGTTGTCATTTTCCTTTTAGCTGTTCAACAGAGAGAGTTGCAACTTATTTATTAACAACCATCAAGGAGGGAAAAACAAGAACTTGGACAAAATATTAAAAACTGACAGCTTTTTGAATAAAGACATTTTACATCATCTACCTTCAGCACTTGGCTGATAGAAATGTAAATACTTACAGCGACTACTTCTAACAGTGGTTATAGCACACAGCATAATGATTAACAACAAGAATGTTCCTCTTTATGACCAGAAAGATGGAGATTTGCTGTAAAATGGATTCCTTTTGCTGCTTTATTTATGTTTGATGCGGTGCACTTACTTGTTCAGAGTTAGATCCAGAACAAACCTGGTGCCAAATGCCTCTAATTGGAAACTGGCTTGAGCCAGGTGGATCGTCTGTAGAGGATAAGAAAAAAAGATTATAGCGGCAATTAGGGCGTGAACCATCTTCAAGAATCCAGGATCCACCCCAGAAACACTGAACGGTACACTGTGCTGCATGCTTGCATAGTTAATATTTTGTCTCTCGCTGCAGCAGTTACACAATCAAATAAAACAGAAAAGGATTTGAAACGAGGTTACAACTTCAGAGCTTTTGCTAACTACTAACATCCCACTACCAACGTCCCTCCCTCCTCCCAGCTCGGAGGGAGCTTACATGGCCCTCTGGGGCTTGGTTTTTCGCCTGGGTGTTCAGGTCATGGTAGGTGCTTTCCGAGTCCTCGTGCAGGTAGTAAATCAGCCGGGAGGGATAGGCCACGGCGTGCTCCACTGCATGGTCAGTCCCGTTGTCTGGGGCAGGTGCTGCAGTTGCCTGTTGCTTCGGCGGTGCTGGCTCTGCATCCCTCTCAACCTTGTCCTCTACTCCTTGAGTAACTGCAAGAGAAAATTCCCCCGCACAGACACCAGGAACGTGACTTGTGCATAAACAGAGCTGTCACCCTGCGTCTCTCCAGCACTGACAGCATCCTACGGAAGAAAGTGACTACAGCTTTTTTGGGGGGAAATTCCTTACGACTCAACTCAGATTCACTGGCTCCAGCTAAAGAAGCCAGTGAAGGTTATAATACAGAATGTGCAAATGCTTCATTTGACGCGTTGATTGCAACATTTTAAACTAAAGCAATTGAATACATCCTGATCCAAATGACCTGAGATCAGACCATGCACCTCAGCAGAAAAAGTACCAGCCACGGTTCATGTTAATGTGGCGGCCAAACAACATAGAAATCACTATTCTCAATCAGCTGAACAAAAGATGCAGATGCACTGTGCTGTGCCTTCATGCACCATCACGTCGGAGACGCTGCAAACGGAACAGAACAATTCCCTCTGATGTTTGGATGCGGACGCGAGCGAATGCGCCGGCAATGCAGAAACAGAACACAGACAGAGAATAACATGAACGACACCCCCTATTTCCCCCTCCTTTCTAAGAAATAAGGATAAAGAATTGTTTTTTAAAAGCCAGCAGGATGTTGCAGTACGTACCGGAGAATGCTAGTGATGGATGAAGCCCAGGCGGAAGGACGCTGACGAGCAAAGTGGCCAGAAATATCAAATGCATGATTCATATTTGATAACTAAAATATCTCAATATCAACACAACAACGCAGTTAATAGCTCGCGGCCCATCGTGGCCGGGGAGGTGCCGTGCGGGGAGGGGGGGTCTTTCTTCACGGATCCATCCAGGAGACACCGGGCTGGGATCCTGCAGTCGTGGCAGAGGAGGAGGTGGAGGATGAAGGGGGGGGGGGGGGGGGAAGAAGGGGGGGGGCTGGGCAGCTCTACTGTACCGAAATCAAGCAGCAGGCTCCTCCTCGATTATGACCTTCCGCACTATAGTGATGTACAAAGACCAGAGGACTGTGGTCTGGTTCATTTCTAGTCCTCTTCCAATAAGGGGCAATAGAAAAAAGTGCACATTAGGAACAAGGCTTGAACTAAAAAAATAGATAGGAAAACTGCTAATTATCAGTGATGTGCAGTACTTAGATATTCACATATAAATATGTAAATATATTAGAAAGTTTCACATATCAGGTAAAAAAATATTATTTAAAAGCTGATCTGGTTATTCCCATTGGGGCCTTTAATGTACCTGCCTAAACACTGAAGAAGCTAAATTGAGAGACACTACAGGCCTCACTACAGTTAGCATGTCAAATGCTAATGCTGACAGTTTGTTCTAAGTCTGACTTTCTGAATGAAAGCATCAACTTGGAGGGGATTGTTCAGAATGCTCATTAGCATTTTCAATGAAAACCAAATACAACATATCATACAAATACTTCATGCTCACTGTTGAGCACGGAAGTAGAGGGCTTATGATGTGGATTTGTTTTGTAGCCCAGATCACCAGCTGAGTATTTTGCATTCATTGAATTGATCATAAACTCCTATGAAGCTGTGGCCCAGCAGGAAATTTTTATGTGACTCTGGGTTCCCCGAGAGTTCAAGGGCAAAGATTTGTGTTCAGGGGGCCATGAACACTGGAGTGTGTTTGTTTAGTTATGAAAGGCTTAGACCAGATAAATGTGTTTACATCCACTTTAAAATAAACATCTCTTAATTGAGCATGGGGTGGTGGGAATTGCTGTATCTTGTTTGTGTTTTTTTCTCTTTGCACTGTGGTTATCTATGAATTAGTGAATTCAGAGACGATCTGACTGACAATGGTTCAGAAAATTGTCCTCATATGAATGAAATCTCTCTTTTTCTTCTATATTAAATTCATCCAATTTCACAGTCAGCGTTTAAAATGAACTACTTTACTGGAAAGCTAAGTAGTTTCCTCATGTCTCAAGATCAACCTGTGTTTTTTCCCACTTTTTTTTGTTTTATCATAAAATGGAAAACACAGGTGTCTCCAATAACCTTCGGAATGTCCCTGTTCTCTTCATGTTTCTGGGTACGCCATGAGGGTTTCACCGTGAGTCAGCATGTGCACACCAGGACCCTGAAACATGAGGAGCTCAGATGGCTGGGATCAGTCATTGGATCTGTGGCACAGAACTGTGTTGTGGATTTTGAGCAAATTTAAAATCTGAGTTGGAGTCCAGCTTTCAATTTCACATGAAAGATAAAGAAAATTGAGATTGGTATCCCTGGCCAGACTAAATAAGCCATTTTAACCTTATGCTGGAAAGTGTTTATCAGAATTTTTAAGGCTTTTTAACATGAAGGAGAAAGTGAGTGATTAAACGATTTATTAAAAAATACGATTTATTAAAGCAATACCTCAACATTTGGAAAAAGAGATGGTAAAAAGATCAAAATCAAAATGAGTCCTTAACAGATTTGAGCACAATTTTGTGAGATGGTGCAAGCGCCGGTTCATTCAGTTTCTTTGAAGAAACTGAGCAGGCCATCCCCAGTTGACCTCTCTGTGACGCATGAATGTCTTCAAGGAAGACTGCGTGATGATAATTTGCGTGTGAAATTGCTTTTAGGTTTGACTGTTACACTCCACAAATCTCCAGAGCTACTGAGGGATGTGACTTCTCTCCCTCAGGGCTGCTCGGCCCATAGAAGTATATCATAGTCATTTTGGGTTGCTGAGGACTGAGACAAGGGAGTGTGGCTATCACAAGCGGCCAAAGGGTCTATGGTGTTAAATCCTTACCAGCTTCAAAAAGGCTGTAGTTCTGTTTAACTTTTGCACATTTAAGAATAATAAGATCTTGCCTATATCTGTGGATTAACTTTTAGCAACACAAAAAGTCCCTGTGATGTTATGGGCCAGCTGTAGCCCATAAAGGAGTGGCGCGGCTCTGATGTTGTGAACTTATTTTTTTCCCCCTCTGCCATCAATTATTTAGGACGTGCAAGCTATAAAAAGAGATGTGCTTCAGTGTAGCAAGGGTTAAAAGTTGGTATAAGAGATTCTGTTATAGCCTGGACAACAGAGGACACATAATCCTTTAGGAATATCTCAAATAAATAAAAACTGTGTCTCTTTTTTGGCACAAACCCTCAAGATTAAACAAGCCTGCTAAATGCTGAGAACACATTCTTTGCTCAGATAAGATCAACATAACTGCGTTTGGCTTTGGCGTGTTTAGAGTGAGGCTTTTCACGGTGACCACTGTGAATGGGGCTACGCCACAAGGAAGCAATGAAAGGCTGTTATGGGTTTGGTTCTTTTATTTATTTATTTTTCCAAAGAAAATGTATATGTTCTTTAATTAAATTCCATCAAATATAACATACATATCAACTTACAAAAAAATGCACCATTTGTGTTCATATTGTACATTCCAAAGGGGAAGGAAACTCAAGTGTGCTGCACTTAGCAGAAATATTACAAAGAGTCACAGATACCGGATCCCACATGGACGCCAAAATACCCATCAGATGACGTCCTCCACCACATCAGTCTGTGAAAATCTGTTGTGTAACGTCTGTCATATGTCTCCGGAGAAAACAAGCCCTCATCAAAGCTTTTGCTTGACTGATTTGGAAACTGTGCACACAGGAGCTTTGAAGATATGGCTGTGAACTGAAGGAAGATCTGCTGGAACACATTACAGAGCTGCAGAATGGAGTTTTGTATGTGGGCCTGTGAGCTGTGATGCCACAGCCTGCTGCAGGATTACTTCCTTTCACTTGATCAAGGTGCTAAACTTGCTGCTGGACCACTGTTACTCCCACCGACCTTTTGCTTCCTTGCATTCACGTGGTTTGATTGTCCAAATCGAATGTGGTCACCATTTATAGCTTATTCAAATGTTCAACGAGCAACGAGGAGCGACATCAGAGATTTAAAAACAGAAGAAAGAAGCAGCAGTCGGCTGTGGGGTGAGGAGGGCCAACTTAAGCACGCATCAGCCAAACATATGCAGCTTGTAAAGCTCTGAGGGGGGACAGGCGTGCGCCGCTGCTTTACGCTGCTGTTATGGAAAGCGGCCACAGCTCCGCTGAATGCAGGCTTTCTTCATACCGAGCCGGTGACCAACTGCTTTTTCTTCCCTCTGAGGTTCGTCGTCCACCCGCCACCCCGCCCCCCCCAAAAAAACCCCCCCCCCCCCCCTCACCCCTGCGCCCCCACCCCCCTCAGTTTGGATGGAAGGAAAGACTTTTCAAGGAGCTGCAAAAGAGTTTGCAAAGCCCGACGAGGAGAGACGGACCAGGGCGAGCAGAAGGAGCTCCAAATGTGAACAGAGACGGCGGTGACTTTGTGCCCAGAGCTGTGGAAGTTTGGGTAAAAAGACCGTTAACTGGGAGCGCTGCACTTTAAAGTAAGTCATGACCCCTCCGCCTCAAATTCGGGAAAGAAAGAACAGCCTATTAGTATTCTAATAGTGAGTGGATGGCACTGGTTGTAGCCCAACACAGTCTTTAACATCCGTTTGCAAACTAGATTCTGTTCTTCTTTTATAAGGAAACCTTCTAAGTGTATTCCTGACCCAAAACCTTTCAGCTTTTTTATTTATTTCTGCACCATAATTCTACCGTCACTCTCTTTTAGAAGACGTTTAAGCTTTGATGAATCCCTTTAGAGCGTTTCATTGCTATTCCAATGGCAAAAAGTTTTTATTCAGTAACTTTTGAAAAATGATTGTATTGGACATTATTTTCTCCATGTATATTTTTTGCATATTTTCATAAAACTTTCAAATATCTATGCCATTAATGTTTATATAGTTAAACAATTAATTACCTTTATTAGAAGATTACATTGGTAAAAGATATATATAAGTAACGAATCAAGACTATAAACTTCTTTATCTTACCCAGCATTTGCCTAAAAACACAGACTTGTGGTAATATTCCTTTGAATAACAGTAAAAATCCTTAGTTTCCTTTCCTAACCTTGACGTCAGCATGGTATGGTCTTTATTTATAAAATTTTATCCCAGATTTTAGTGTCACTGTGAACTTGGTAAAGACAAACAGTGATCTGCTGATTTTCTTCAACACCCTGATATGAAAGTACCTCAAAATGTTGTGCAACAATACATGATTAATCATAGTTTCCTCTTTTCTGATAAACTCTGATCCTGGCATATTATTTAATGAGGCACTTAGCACTAACTTCATTACAGGGAACTGAATGACCATGGGCTGTCAACAGAAATAAGGGTTTCAGTGAACAGCAGCAAAATGGCAGACACAATGAGCTGAGAATGCGCTGTGACAGTATGAATATGAAACAATGTTATCATGCATGAATGTACCTCATCTTAAGATTTCCCTTCCCACAGATAACTTCAGCAAACATCTCTGCAACAATGGACTCCGTTGAAGACTATAGTGTGAACTACACCTATGAGTATGTCCTGGAATACGGTGATTTTGATGACCTTAAAGTAGACCACAGTCAGGTGGACCCTATACACATCATCTCTGTAGTAATCTACATCATTTCCATTGTTTTTGGCCTGATCGGGAATGGAACGGTTATCTGGTTGACTGCATTTAAAAGCAAAAAGACCATCAACGCTGTCTGGTTGCTCAATCTGGCCGTGGCAGACTTTGTGTTTGTGCTGTTCCTGCCTTTCTACATTGATTACATTCTGCGGGACTTCCACTGGAACTTTGGCGTGGCCATGTGCAAGATGAATTCCTTTGTGTCTGCAATGAACATGTATGCCAGTGTCCTCTTCATCACCGTGCTCAGCATAGACCGATATGTCTCTCTGGTGCATCTCAACTGGTCTCAGAGGTACCGCACTATCGGCAGGGCCTGGTCTGTGTGTGGCTGTATTTGGGGTCTAGCTGCAGCCCTGAGCTGTCCCGCCTTGATCTTCCGTGACACCATACGCGTACACAACAAGGTGCTGTGCTTCAACAACTTCCACACACAGGACAGCTACACAATGGCTATGAGACACGTGATAATAGTGGCCATCCGCACCACAGTCGGCTTCCTTTTCCCGTTTACGGCTATATGTGTGACAGGCACACTTCTGTCAATCAAAGTGAAAAAGTCTGGGGGTTCGGTTCCCATATCCAGTTTCTCCAAAACAGTCACTGCAGTCATTTTGGCTTTCTTTTTATGCTGGGCACCTTTCCACGTTTTCAGCTTGATGGAGTTATCCATACATTCTACCTTTTATCTCCACAATGTTCTGAAGGCTGGCTTCCCCCTCACCACCAGTTTAAGCTTCTTTAACAGTTGCATTAACCCCCTGCTCTACATGTTCCTGAGCAAGAGGGTGCGTGTCATCCTAAAGCATGCATGCCTGGACATCACTAAGAGCTCACTTAAAGAGCTCAGTCAGTCCATTTCCGCCACAGACATTGAGTCTATACCAGGGGCTCATCCAGATCACTTCCCAGAGGAGCCCGTGGCCTCATCAAATCTATGAACGCAATCATCCTAACAAGACTGTTCACGCAGCGTCAATGACGAAGATTATCAGAGCTATTTATCCCAGCTCCAGTGTTCAGATTTTCCTATTTTATTTCATTCCTACTGTTACGCCTACTTCAGCTGTCAATTATCCTTGATGGAAAAGCTGAATAGAAGTTAATATAATGTGCACAGGCAGTTAATATATTTACATTCGTTTGCAGAAGCCAAGTTATCAGCACAGAGACAGACAGCTGGGAAAGTTGTTAATTGATCAGTGGAAAATAGTTCTGCAAAAGGGAACACCAAAGTCAGAGCATATTTCATACATTTAATTCTTTTTTACCTTTATATGCTATTAATAGTTGTCTGATTCTTTTAAAAGGATACACGTACAGCGGATATTGACTTGTAGTAATATTTTAGTATATTATATGTTTTACATAGCCCCATGTAGACTTTTTAAAATCATGGTTTAATGTATCTGTAAGATTTTTTTTTACCAGTAAACAGGAGTGTAGTTATGTGTAATCCTAATATATTTCAAATAAATATGCATAAATGTGTTTTTCTTGGCTGTACTGTAGTCTGTTTAATCATCATCATCTGTTTGTGAGAGTTCAAGGTCTGGTCTTAGAGGTTTTATGTACGTACCAGATCACAGAAGGATTATAGTAGGCCTAGAAGATATGCAGGAGTCTAACAGAAATCCAGATGTGCATATCCATTATTTTTCCTGAGGGCCTCATTACAAATTCAGCTATTTCCTGTTACTGTTGTTTTTTTCCCCCCCTCTCTGACGTAAACCCAGACTTGTAGGTTTACACCACCACTGGCTTAAGAGATAAAGTGCCACCACGTTCCCAGGAGAGAGGGTGGTTTGTTAGTCTATGAAAACTTGGACAGGATGTTAACATTTTTATGTAATCAAATCTTTAAATAATTTTCTCGAGAAATTAGCATATCCATATGGTATTTCAGCAACAGTCTAACAGAGAATTTAATCTCTCGGTCATTGAAGTAAATGAAGAATTTCAAATTGTTCATCCAAAGTAAAGGGAATCCTGTCTGAATCATAAATATGGTGGGAATATCAGATGAGTTACCATTGTTTATCCTCTGATCAAACAAGACTGCCATAAATATATTAGTTTATCAGTGTCCTTAGAATGATTAGTGGCATTGTAAAATAATTTCAAACGACTGTTATATCAATGTTGCATTTTTAATCTGATGGGTCTCAGACTTGTGTTTCAATGCACATCGAGACGGGCTGAAAATGATATTATATTCAAATGCACCAGCTTCTGGCACCCAACACCGATTCTATGATCTTAAAAAAGACTTTCGCTTTAAAGAATGCCACCCTATTTGGATTATTGTATACAGGATTACTTAATCCGTGACGCAGCAGAATAAGAAGACAGTGCGCAATCTGCGTGGCAAATCGTCTAATAAGAGCACGGCAGGGTAAGTGAGCGGCCACCGAGCGCGAGCGAACTTCACAGCGGCAAAGCAAACATCGTTAAGGGGCTCTTAAGCGTGAAACACGATACAGGAAGGTGTCTTGTAGCGTTTATGGTGAGGCGACTGCGACCCGGCATCCGTGGAACATAATATTTCTCGCTACAGACGGTCAGACGCCACTTAACGGGACTGCCGTTAGAGTAAAAGCCTAATTGCGAAGCAGTGTGAATGTTGTCGTGGACACTCCGTTTATGACAGGGTGCCTTCGGTTCTGTCAAACGTCTGGGGCATTTATGTAGGCTGTCAAGGCATCAATTATCCAATAAAACTTTTCCGCTAATTGGCTCCTACACGAGGCTGTGAAAACCAGACCGTTTTTTAATATTTTTAAACGTATGTACTTTTTGCTACGACTCTCCGTGTCGTAGCAAAAGAACACGTTAGCTAGCTCACTTCTGTTTTTGTTTTTGTAGCCACATGAAAGCTAAAGGGGCTAACGGTCTGCGCAGCAGCCGGCTAATAGCATCCCAGACCTACGTCGACACACTGGTTAAATCTGCTAGTGGGGAGGGCCTCGGCTTCGCGGATAACGCTGCCTCTCTGCGTCTCTCCCTTCCAGCATGTTGCGTTTGCCTGTTGCGAGTCGCAGTCTGCTTCCAGCTGCTGTTCCCAGAGGAGGCGCGGCTGCATTTTACAATGGTACCTTAAGTAGACGATTAATTGAATTTGCCTTTGTGCATGTACGCACAAAGTGTGTTTTGTATTCGTGCTTAATAGCCATGCTGTAAGTAAGTAATCATTTGAATGCCTGGCACCGTCTTTCATTTGTTCCACTTGGTGGATTAAAGACCAGATTATCACATTGCATGCCAGGCTGTTGTTGGGTCAGTTTAATCAGTAACAGGGTGTTACCCTCATTTATTACTATTAGGTACAGTGGAATTGACATTGTGTGACGAAAAAAACAAAGAAACAATGGCAGAAATCACAGAGAGGGATTCTGTTTAAAGATCTCCTTCTCTTGCATGTGTCTGCAGTTCGCAGCGCCTCTGCAGCAGCGGCTGCTGCCAGCAACCTGCTGGAGGTGTTTGTGGATGGAAACCCAATCCTGGTGGAGCCAGGAACAACTGTGCTGCAGGTGAAATGGCAATTTCATGCGTCGCCATATAAGATGACAACACTTCCAACCACATTATGCTCCAGACACAAAACTGGTGGTGTTGTCTTTCAGGCATGTGAGAGGGTGGGCATGCAGATTCCCCGCTTCTGCTACCACGAACGCCTGTCAGTCGCAGGAAACTGTCGCATGTGTCTTGTGGAGATAGAGAAAGTTCCAAAGGTATGTTTTCAGGCAGCATGTTCTCCTTTGTCTAGTGTCTTCTTGACTGTTTTTACAAAAAAAAACGGCCCGGTTAGTAGAACATGCAACTGTTTTGTTTACCTTGCAGCCGGTGGCAGCTTGTGCGATGCCTGTCATGAAGGGCTGGAACATTTTAACCGATTCTGACAAAACAAGAAGGGCCAGGTAGACTAAACATCACAGTTAATAACAATAATACACCTGTTAAGTCTTGCCTTATTGCCTTTTCATTGGGTGGTGACACATTAATCCACATCTCATCTTAAGCAAAATACACTAAATTCATTACAAGTAGTGTGAAATAATTTTGTTCCAAACTTTAATTTTACACAGAGAGGGTGTGATGGAGTTCCTACTGGCTAACCACCCTTTAGATTGTCCGATTTGTGATCAAGGGGGTGAATGTGATCTGCAGGTAAATACTCGTACACATTTTCGTTTTATTGTTTTGGCTTTAAAAAAAAAAAAAAAAAGTTACTAATGAACCAAAGAAACTTAAGCTTGATTTTTTCTCCAAGGACCAGTCAATGCAGTTTGGCAGCGACAGGAGCCGCTTCACTGAGGGCAAAAGAGCGGTGGAGGACAAAAACATAGGCCCTCTGATCAAAACCATTATGACTCGGTGTATTCAGTGCACACGCTGTGTGCGGTAAGTCGGACTTTGAAATGCAAGGCGAGCTGTGTTGCTGTGTAATTTTGTTGTGGTGTAACACTTGTACCTCTTCTCCCATCTGAAGTTTTGCCAGTGAAATTGCCGGCGTGGAGGACCTTGGGACCACCGGCAGAGGAAACGACCTGCAGATTGGGACTTACGTGGAGAAGATGTTCATGTCAGAGTTATCTGGAAATGTTATTGATATATGCCCCGTGGGGGCCCTGACGTCTAAACCGTACGCCTTCACATCTCGTCCATGGGAGACCAGGTTCTTGTATTGCTCCTAGAATGTCCATGACCTTTTTGCTGGAATAAAAAAAGGGGTATTTACACTCCTTTTGCCTTTTCCAACAGGAAGACCGAATCCATTGATGTTCTGGATGCTGTGGGGAGTAACATTGTGGTGAGCACTCGTGGTGGGGAGGTGATGAGAATCCTGCCTCGCATAAATGAGGATATAAATGAGGAGTGGATCTCAGACAAAACCAGGTCAGTGTCCTGTTGCACGGAAGTTATGTCAGGGACACAGATTTGTCTGTTTGTTAAAGAGGAGTTAGCATTACACCTGAACTCTTCTTTTTCTTGCCTCTGCTTTGTCAGGTTTGCGTATGATGGACTGAAAAGGCAGAGGCTCACTCAGCCAATGGTGAAAAATGAGGCAGGACAGCTTGTCGCCACGTCCTGGGAGGACGCGCTGACCCGGGTGGCTGGAGTGGTAAGTAACTCGCAATCCAACAGCCTTCAGTTTGAAATCATTAAAAAATAAGGTATTTTCATGTAGCTTAACTGTTTTCTATCTTTTCAAGTTACAAGGTGTTAAGGGAAGTGATGTTGCCGCTGTGGTCGGTGGTTTGGTGGACGCCGAGGCTCTTGTTTCCCTGAAAGACTTGCTGAACCGTTTGAATAGTGACAACCTCTGCACTGAGGAGACGTTCCCCATGGCTGGAGCTGGGTAAGGTCAAACAAAGACAGACAGAGAATGCTGTATAAATCTAATCTGACTTTTTTTTAACCTTGGCTTTCCCAGATCTGACTTGCGTTCAAACTATCTTCTGAACGTTGGCATAGCCGGTATTGAAGAGGCAGACCTGCTTCTTCTGGTGGGCACCAACCCCCGCTATGAGGCCCCTCTTTTCAATGCACGAATAAGAAAAAGGTAAGTAAGCAGAATCCATGGCCATTTAGAGAGGTGTAAATCTAGACAATCGGTAAATAACCGTTCTAAACAACCCCGGCGTCTCCCTCAGCTGGCTGCACAATGAGCTGAATGTGGCTTTAGTGGGAAAGAAAGTGGACTTAAGTTACACATACGACCACCTCGGGGAGTCTGCGGAGACCCTGCGAGGAATAGCAGCGGGGACTCACCCGTATGCTCAGGTAACAGCCAGAGCAGTTTCCGTTGTGAGTGTCATCCATCATCTGCAAAATCTCTCTGATGTAGTGGGTTTTCTGTCCTCTTACAGCTCCTGGCTAAAGCGAAGCACCCCGTCGTCGTAGTTGGCAGCAGCTGCCTGCAGAGAGAGGATGGGGCAGCGATAATGGCTGCTGTGTCAACCATCGCTCAGAACGCCCGCGTCAGCAGCGGAGTGGGGGAAACCTGGAAGGTTCTCAACGTGCTTCACAGGTGACGGTCAGGGAAAGCTGTGACGCAGCTCGCTGCTGTGGGTGGATTTTCACCGTAATCCATGCGCTGCTTTGCCTGTGTCGCCAGGGTTGCCAGTCAGGTGGCAGCACTTGATCTTGGGTACCAGCCAGGAGTCGAGACTATCAGGAAAAACCCCCCCAAAGTTCTGTTCCTACTTGGGGCCGACGCCGGCACCATTTCTCGTCAAGACCTCCCAAATGGCTGCCTGATCATTTATCAGGGTTGGTTTCTTTTATCTTCATACTTGTCAGCTTCGGGAGTTTAGTCATTACATGTTTTATTAAGATTAATTTACGCCATCTGAGAGAGGCAGTTGGATCCAGGCAGATCGTCATCAGCAGTACAGAGTGCATGTCATTACGTGCGCAGAGGGTCAGTAAATGCTGTGGAGAATGTGCGGAATGCTTCAGAGTTGCTGGACAGCTCCAATTATAGATTGTAGATCAGGTGTTAGACAGTGTCCTTCATCACCTACATTAGCTACTAAGTTAGGGAAAATGTTTTGGAAGAATTGAGATAATTTCTCTAGGGGAGAAATGCAGAATACACATCAAGGGTGAATAAAGTTTTCTATAAAATGTTGTATACTTTACACTGCCTTATTTCAGCACTCTGCTTTCTACCTGCCCAGGTCACCATGGGGATGTGGGCGCTCCCATGGCTGATATCATACTTCCTGGAGCTGCGTACACTGAAAAATGTGGTACTTATGTGAACACTGAAGGCCGTGCCCAGCAGACCAAAGTTGCCGTCACTCCTCCTGGACTGGCCAGGGAGGACTGGAGGATCCTAAGAGCTCTATCTGAGGTGAAGCACAGTAAAAGTCCAAGCATGGTGTTTTCCACAAAAACTGAAAGAGGCTTAATGTCGAGGGATTTCTCACCCCTTTCAAAGCTTGCTGGGGTGACTCTGCCTTATGACACTCTGGATGAGGTGCGCAGCAGGCTGGCGGAGGTTTCCCCAAATCTGGTTCGATACGATGACGTCGAGGAGGCCAACTACTTCAAGCAGGCTTATGAACTGTCAAAGGTTTTCTTTGAAGTTTTCTCCCTGTTTTTAGTCGATTATAAAGATTATAAAAATATGGCTCGCTTTGTGATTAGCTTGCTATTTAAACTGATCTCAGTTTGGGTGTGGCTGTTCGACTTGACGGTGGTGATGTCTGCCTTATCTGTTTCAGGCTGTGAACCAGGCCGTCCTAACTGAGCCTTTAGTTCCTCCACAGCTTACTGTGAGGGACTTTTACATGACAGGTTGGTCATCCCTTCTACGAGTGGACCGTGGAATATCTGATCTTTACCTATAGGGTTTAAGACTGGAGGATTTTTTTTACTACAAACATTTTCTGTGATAATTTATTTTAGCTCTCTAAATGAAGTTAATTAAGTATTTATACAAGCCACCAGCATCTTCTACAATCATTCTTAATTTATTGGAAACTGCTTTGCTTTAGGTAATCAGGCAGCACGTGGCATTTATACAGTACAAATACGGAAAAGATTTTAACATTTTTTGTCTTAAACTGCCATACATACGATTTGAAATCACATTTTTACTCAATGCTTTTACTAAATGGTGACTCCTTTTGTATTCATTATATTTAACAAGCCTTGTCATCATTATGGTTCAGCTGATGCTCCAAATAATGCAGGAATTAAAAGTTTGTCTTAAAATACAAATGCAGAGATAAGAAAAATCCAGATAACATGCTGTGTTTTGACATGGCTCACATATATGGTATTTTAAAAGTCACTGCATGGTTTAAAAGAATAGAATATACCTAATATTGTCTTAGATTGAGGAAATCAATTTTCTTTAAAATTGTCACAAAATGAAGGGCGGCACGGTGGTGTGGTGGTTAGCACTGTCGCCTCCCAGCAAGAGGGTTCTGGGTTCGAATCCCGGGGGAACCAGGACCTTTCTGGGTGGAGTTTGCATGTTCTCCCTGTGTCTGCGTGGGTTCTCTCCGGGTTCTCCGGCTTCCTCCCACAGTCCAAAAACCTGCATGTTAGGCTGATTGGAGATTGGGGAAATTGCCCTTAGGAGTGAATGTGAGTGTGAGTGGTTGTTTGGCCCTGTGATGGACTGGCGGACTGTCCAGGGTGTACCCTGCCTCTCGCCCGTTGACCACTGGGATAGGCTCCAGTTCCCCCCGCGACCCCATGAGGGAATAAGCGGTATTGATAATGGATGGATGGATGGATGGATTGTCACAAAATGATAAGTAAACATAAAATTCCAGAATTAAATACTGGATACTTTTCTAGAATTTCTATCTTACCTTGTAATTATGATATAGCATGCTACAGGAGACTCCAGGGTTTGTAGTTAAGATTAAAAACAAGTGACACTTATTTAATATGATAACTTATAACAACTCTTAACCCACCAGTTAATATCTTTGTGTATCAATTCAGTTTTTTGAACTAATCACCATACACAACATGTAAATTATCAGTTTTTAGTTGTTTACCCATAATCCATATATTTTATTTGTTTGCATAATTTTAGCATCCATTACAGACATAGGTTTGATCCAGTTCTTGCACAAATGTTAATTGTTTTCTAATTTCTTCACCCTCAGATTCCATAAGCAGAGCCTCCCAGACCATGGCAAAATGCGTGAAAGCTGTCACAGAGGGAGCACAAGCCGTGGACGAGCCAGCCATATGCTAAGGCCCAAGAAATAGCCGGAATAATGATACGCACAACTCCGATATTTGCACATTCCTAGAAGGATTTGTTTATATTATAACTGATGCTTTACTCTAAAGAACAACTCCTCATTTATTTCCATAATGTAATCAGCATAGCTGCTAGCTGCGCTTATTTCAGATTAAATGTTTCATCATCTTAGATTTCCCAAAAACTCAGAAATGCACTTCCAGCAGTTTGCTCTTTTATTGTTGATATTATTTATTTTGTAGCAATCGTTACCAAAGACTTAACGATCTTAATACTCAGAGGGTAGATTTAGTCTTCCTTTGTTAACAAAAAATATACTTTAAGAATAAAGAAAATATTATTTTTTAAAGTCTAGGTATTTGTAAAAGTGATATAAAATAATAAAGCAAATTTATGTCGCAATATATGAAAACATTTATTAAAGTTTGCATTGTATTAAAAAAAAAAAAGTCTAAAATGAGTATGGATTTAGTTGTTTTGAGTGATGCCTGCTTAACTTTTCCAGCCTGGAGCTCCCGGTGTGATTGACACGTGGTCCGTCATTAGTGAACAGTCGCAACAGTGTGGCAGCAGGGCAGATAACTCATTCATTTGGACGATGATGGTCGTGGTCCAGGTGGATTTCACTATGCAACTCTTTTTTGGACCTCTCAGTCACAATTCATATGTTTACACGTGCAATGTTAACGACAATGTCCTTCACACAAACTGCCATTTGTTTCTTAAATAGATTTAAATCATACTTCTACACTGTAGAGCTTTTAACAAAGTTGAATTTCCAATATGGTAGGAGAGGTTGTTGTTGTTGAGCGGACTGTTGTCATGTCCCCGCAGTGCCTGTAGTGGTGCTGTGAGGAGTCTGCTGTGGATCCAACAAATATCCTCAGCAGCCTGCCTACTGCTTGTAATTTGCTCTGGTTAGCCTTTATTTATATGCATTCTTACTTCAAGATCAACCGAGCTCGATGAAGACCACCGTTACCATCCTATCTGGAGTATCGATGCCCAAATAGCCTAGCTGATTCTAATAGACATTTCGGCCGCCTATCTAGAGCGAATACCTAACAGCCCATACCAATTGAAGGTAAGCAAGCTCACATACGACCGCGACCTCGATTTCTGAGTGTGCCGCTTCGCCCGCGCTTCCGTCGGACAGTCGTTCTACCAGAGGGCGCCGTCCCATTGAAGTAAATAGGCCTCTTTTATTTGAGATATGTATTTAACAACTTCTGACCCCACCTTCCTTGTCAGTGACTTGGGTGTGTGTAGGTAGTTTCACAGTGTTGGCAATTTTAATTCTCGTAGCGTGCTATTGTCGCATTATGTAACGACTGGTGGCTATAATTCATATCGATGATTGCGGAGGCCTTGGGAAACGGGCCTAAAGCCTCGTATGTGTACCCTTTGTTTGAAAGTATATGGCTATAAATATGTAATTTACATAAATCACAATAGATCGTTTTTAAGACCAATGAACTACTACATTTATCTTATGACTATGCTTATATTTTTGTAAGTAAAAGTAAACTGGAAATAGACCTTTTATAGTGTTACCATTTGCTTATGTTTCCGTTTCCTGGTTAGCTACCGCCTACTAATTTGTGTTTTTAGCCTCTTGAGCTAACTAGCTAAATAGACTTTTTGCGTTTAGGACTTGTGATAATATGCGTATCCAACACAACACAAGTAAAGGTTTACAGTCTGCATTAGGACACGTGTCTTTTGGATGCAAACTTGTTTACAAATTTAAATTACAAAGTTTCACAGCTGTTAATCGCTCTCAAGCTAACGTAGCAGGCTAGCTCCCCCCTCCGTACACAACTGTAAGTTTACGCTGTTTGCTCTAAGTCCGGTTCTTCTCGTCTTGATTTAAATGTTTAAAGTAAACCGATTTTGAAACATGGAACACACATTTTACGAGTTTGTGCGGGTCCAGTGTATGCTTCAGATGTCAGATTTGAAGTATTCCTTATAGTAACTGGGAAAAAAGTTGTATGCATCAACTAAGCTATGGTTAAAATAAAGAAGTGCCCTGTGTTCTGTAGCATCACATGTTTGAAATGAAGGGTTACGTTTATTACCGTAAAGGAGCACTAAAAGGTTTTATTTTAACAAAGATCTTAACTTAGCTGACACTTAATCAGTCTTGAGACGGTGCCCTTAGATTAGATGATGTTAAAGCAAGAAGCAAATATTCAGAGGAATTTTCTTTTTTTAAGTTTGATATTCTCAAGCATCTTAGGCTCCTTTCAGAGTGTATTATTCATGCCTTTCCCTCACTCATATACAAAATAAATGTATACTATACAATACAGAATAAACAGTTTTCAGATATTTTGGGGGGGAAATCTGTCTTTTTCTGCTCTGTGCTTGACATTACGTCTTAAGGCTAAAATTCTTAGTTTTTTCCTGTCTTTATCCCATCAGCTGATGTTGTCTAGGACAAGAGTCACGTGATGTATGAAGGCAAACACATACACTTCTCAGAGGTGGACAATAAGCCGTTGTGTTCGTATAGTCCAAAGCTGTGCAAGCAGCGCAGACTTAATGGCTATGCGTTCTGTATCCGGCACGTTCTGGAGGATAAGACGGCTCCCTTCAAGCAATGTGAATATGTGGCAAAGTATAACAGCCAGCGATGTACCAACCCCATCCCCAAGTCTGAGGACCGCAGGTGCGTATCGGTGTGGGATTCTAACCTAGTCGAATGCAATATATAACCATAGTGTGTCCGCTCACTCATCTGGGGGGGTGTTTTTGATTTTCCAGGTACTGCAACAGCCACCTGCAGGTCCTTGGCTTTATCCCCAAGAAGGAGCGGAAAAAGAAGCACGACGCTTTGGAGGAAATGCGCCCTCGGGCTCACGTGGAGTCATTGGCTCTCAATATTACTGTGCCCTCTTTAGCTCTGAAAGCTCCCAATGGTATAAATGAACTCCCACCATCTCCCCCCTGCGCACGCCTGTTACCCCTCCCTGATGGGGAACTCCTGGACCCTTTTGCCTTCTACGAGGACGACACAGACGGGGAGGAGGTGAGCACCCCTCGGAAGGGCAACGCCATCAAGAAGAAACTACAGAGTCGGCTGATCCTCAACCAGAAACTCTGCAATGATACAGAACTCTTCCAGCCTCCTTCTGAGCACTTTAGCCCCTCCCCTGTTTCCCGCGCGCACCCCTCATCGCCGCTCAGCACGCTTCTCCCGCGACAGCAGCCAGGTCTTTTCCAGCAGCCTCAGCACTCCACCTCCTTCACCTTCCCAGGACAGCAGCAGGGTTTATTATGCAATCCACCACCACCTCAGACGGTCAACTTTCTGCCTCCAGGGGCGCCTCCAAATGCGGCGCCCAGTCCAGGGCAACATTCTGGACCATCGCTCAGCAGGAAAATGCCTTTCGCTGGTACTCCATTGCCTGCCAATTGCAAGGACAGTGGCAGTAACAATCAGCGGCATGTGGTCGTCATGCGTCCCACGGCCTTCTCACCTTCCGCCAGCTGCCTGGCCAGGTTGCAACACCTCGTCCAGCTCTGTGCCAAGAGACACCAGGAGCACGGAGACCTCTTTCCCCATCTAGGTGATTCACCTGAATGCTTTAAACACTAATTTGCCACTTCGTATAAACCAACCTACGCTTTTTGAAGGCCCATTGTAATGATGTTTTTGGTTAATATGAGCCGATGAGCCCCCCTAACAAGCTCCCTTTCAGGTTTGGACTGGTCGGAGGACAGTGCAGACGAAGACCACGAAGAAGAGCAGGCAGAGAGATTAGCTCATTTTCAGAGCTCATGGAGACCGCGCAATGGGTTCGTATCCAAATGTCCGAGCACACACCGCAGGCGGTTAGCTTTCTTGCTGTGACGCCCCTCACGCCTGTCCTGCGTAGGCTGGAAGACGACAGCGGGTCGTCGCGGCGCACGCGGCTCCTCCGGCTGTGCTCCTACCTCCAGGAGAAGTACAAGCACATGTGCAGGCAGGAGAGGGCCAGCATCCGCCAGAAGAGGTGCCGCTACGCCTTCCGCAAAGCCCTGCTGCACGCCGCCAGCAACAACCCCGGCTGCGCGGGCCAGCTGATCCAGGAGCTGAGCGCTGCCTCCCGCAGCTCGTCATGGTAACCTCCCCCGCTCCCTGTCAGTCCGGCTAGTGTGTGCCCGTTTGGGGCCGATATCGGGGATTAAACCCGCAACGTGTATTCCTAGGAGAAGCACGTCGCTGGTTTTAGTTTCCCTCCACGCGACTCTGAAATGAGTGTAAATCACCGTGAGGTGCTCACCGCCCGCTGCCCTTTGCTCAGCTCGGTGTGTGTCTCTTTTGCAGCGCGGCGCCCCAGAAGCCGCAGAGCGCGGGGCCGGGGACGTGCACCGGCAGCACAAAGGGCCAGGCCTGCAGCAACAGGGCTCTGCCCTTCACCCGCCACTGCTTTCAGCGTATCCTTCACACCGCCGCCTCTCTGAAGCCCACAACAATGGCTATCATAGTGTTAGAAACCGGTGTTGATTTTTAGCCTTTTTTTTTTAAATTCCTTTTTTTATTTCACTGTACAGTTTTTCCTTTTTTTTGGCCTTTACTCCCCTCCTGTAGACATTCTGTTGAATCGCTCCCAACAACTCTTTGCGAGTTGCACGGCCAAATTTGCAGACGGTCAGCAGTGCTCCATCCCCGTGTTTGATATCACACACCAGACGCCCCTCTGTGAAGAGCATGCCAAAAAGATGGTGAGTTCAGCATCGAACGGACACCGGCAGAGAGATGAATGAGGAGACGGGTAGCACTCTGGTGTCGGTATGCTGAATATGCAGCTTCCACCTGGAGCTTCTCAGCCACGTGGAACTGCTGATGAACTTTTTTAATTTTTGAAAAAACATCTTCAGCTCTGTGACCGGTCCTTTGCCGTTTTTCCCCACAGGATAATTTCCTGCGCGGCGACGGGAACCGCCGGGTGCAGCACCAGCAGCAGCGAAAGCCACGTAAAAAGACCAAACCGCCGGCGCTCACCAAAAAACACAAGAAGAAGAGGAGGAGAGGGCCGCGGAGGCCTCAGAAGCCCATCCCCCCCGCGCTGCCGCAGGGCAACCTGGGGATGCCCTCCACCAGCCTGGCGCTGCCCTCGCAGGCCAGCATCAGGTACGCCCCACCCCCCCGTGTCACCCCACCCTAAGTCTCACGTTTAAGCCGCTGCTGGCGTCTGCGGTTTGCTAACGAGCTGTCCTTCCTTCTCTGTTCCGGCGGCAGGAGCCCCTCCACCCCCGACCTGAGCACAGAGGAGCTGCCTGACGACATCACCAATGACATAGCAGACATTCCAAATGACCTGGAGGACTTCTCCGATGTGTTGCCCCGGCTACCCGACGACCTGCAGGACTTCGACCTGTTCGAAGGTAAAGTGTTCGGGCCCGTCCCCACGCCGTTCGTTTCGCGCCACGAGCAGAAGTGACAAAGGCGTGTTTCCACAGGCAAGAACGGGGAGCTGCTGCCCACCACGGAGGAGGCGGAGGAGCTGGTGCGCGCGCTGCAGGCCATGGGCTCCTACCCGGACTCCCTGGTGTGCCTGAGCTCCATGGCAGACCTGGCCCCTGCCGAGGGGGTGGACCACAGAGCCATGGCCGTGTTCCCGGGACCAGTCCAGCAGGGGGGGATGGGCGCCCTGCTCACCAGCCGCATCCCCCCCGAGAACTTCAGCAGCCTGGAGCTGGAGGACAACCTCCTGCAGTCCAGCGGGGGGCACTTCCCCCCCCCCCCCCCCCCCCCCCCCCCCCGGGGGGCCCTCCCCCCCCTCCCCCCCGCCCCCCCAGCCCAGCGGCCCGCCCGCCGCGTCCTGCTCCAGCATCACCTCCTCTTCCTCTGTGGTGGCCCCCTCCCCCTCCCCCCTGCTGACGCAGGCCCCCCCGCCGGAGCGGACGTTTCCTCGGACGCACGCGTCCCACGTCTTGGCCAAGTCGGACGCGGCCACGCCCCCCCCCCAAGGCAGCCACTACAGCAGCGAGCCGTCGCCCTACGGCGAGCACGCCAGCTCCTTTCAGACCGACCCCCCCCTGCTGCTGGAGGTGCCCCTGAGCGGCGTGCCGGGGCCCCCCCGCTCCACCTGGAACAACCTCCCGCTGGCCCTGGCCGACCCCACCCAGTTCGGCAGCCTCATCAGGTCAGACAGTCATCTCATATCCACGTCTCTGTCCACCCCCCCCGCCACCACCCACTCCGTGACGCTGCAGCCCATGGCCGCCCTGTCGGCCCTGCCGCAGAGCGCCATGACCGGGCTGACCGCTCCCCCCGGGCCCCCCTCCTCCCTCCCCGCCTCCTCCCACGACCTGCTGGCCTCCACGCAGCCCAAGCAGCAGCTCCCTCAGTTCAGCGCGGCCTTCGGCCATCAACTGGCCTCCCACAGCGGCATCCCGAAAGACGTGCAGCCCAGCCACAGCTCCACGGCCCCCCCCGCCGGCTTCTCCAACGTCAGTGCCACCGCTGCAAGTGCCAACAGCGCCACGCCCCCCTTCACGCACAGCAAATGAGAGCAGGCGGCGGGCGGGCGGGCGGCCCCCCCACCCCGGCGTGGCGGTCCGTGGACGGGCGCTGGCTTTGAACGCGGCAGACTGACCCCCCCCCCCCACCCCCCCTCACCCCCCCCCCACCCCGACTCATCTGCTACACGTGTGCAATGCGGTAACAGTGCACTATTTGATAATGACTTTGCACAACCTCAGATTTTCCTAAAGATGCTCCAGCTTGGTTTAGTCCCCCCCGCCCCCCCCCCGCCCGTAGCCGGGTCTGCGGTTCAAAGCCAGCGCCGGTCCGCCTGCCTGATGCCTTGAGGTCCCGTCAGCAGGCGCCTGCCGCCTGACCACATAGCGGGGGGACACGGGCAGAAGGACCTTAGCAGAGATTACCTGTGTGACAGTGCTCAGAATTCATAGAAGCCTCAATCAGTGATCAGCTTGGTTTGCTTTAGCGGTTTCAGTCCTGTCTTAAAGTGATCAGCAGTACCCTGCCTTGCTCAGACGGCCAAAACCATTTCTCCTTTTTCCTCTTTAATTTAAAGCTCTCCCACCTGTTTGATACACTGTCCGTCACCCTCTGGAAAACAAGACTGCACATCGTGACGTTTTTTGTGACCCTTTACGTTTCAAGATATTTAACTGTTATCATGATATTAGAATCTTAGTCGGATCTCACGAATGAATTTACCAAAATAATTTTAAACAGCTGTTTTTATATTGTGTATATTGTATATTTGCTCATTTATCGGTTTGCTCGGACGTCAAAATCTCTGACCTCACCATTGGTTGTGGCACCCTGAGTGGCCTAGTAGACACTTGAAAGTAAATCTAGTTTCTTAAAGCAATAAAACACATTAACATGACTTTAGCATCGTGAGGTTTTTATTTTTATTTTTTTCATTGATGGGTGTCATTACGTGTAGCTTCACTCACTGAAAACCAGCTGGATCATGTTTTGGCCTCTGTGACTTTTAAACTCCAGATTTTTACAACACTCAGACTCAGGCCAACCCCCCTCCGGCGAGCGGACTCTAAAGGCTGACGGACGAGCGTCAGCAGTAAGCACGGTGGTGGCCGCACGCAGGGACTTTAAAGTGTCTACTCTCAAAGGTGCTCTCTGGTCCACACACACAATGGTCTTTAGTGGCTTGCATGTCTTTGAAAAGAACGTAGAGAAGGCTTAGGCAGTTGATTGAATATATATATATATATTGACATATTTATATATATATATTACTCATGAGCTATGTGTACCATGATGGTATAAATTGGTGTATTTTGCACGTCTGAAGTAAAGCACTGTCCGTTTCACTCACTTATAAAGTGATTTTAAGCTTCATGAGGCAAACCTGGGATCTGGATTTAGTTTTAGGAAAACAGCCCCCCCCCTCTGCCCCCACCCTGCCTTTTAACTCACACAGCAGTGCAGCCATGGCTTTTATAGTAGCCAGATTATCGGACATCGTTGAATATTAGGTATATAGAATAGAAGTCTCTATCTTGGGGTTTGTTGGTGAATTCTTGAGTAGCAATGGATTGAAATTGTTCTTTGCAATGTGTTCAGTGGAACCCGTGTCTTGTGGAATGAATCTTGTTGTTAATGGCTATCAAAATGCTCGTTGTTGGGGGGGGGGGTCAGTGTTTGTTCTGTGTGCTGTCGTTTCGTCCTTTAATATTCTAATGGAGGATATTTTTGATAGCTATTAAACTCCAGGAAGGAATCTGATATTGTGTGAGGCCGAAACTTTTTGTATGAGAGCGAATAATATAAGATAATGGGTCACTGGCTTGATGTTGTCAGTATGAAAAATTGGATTGAAGGCATCATCTTGTGGAGAACTAGCGAACAACAGACCATTTCACCATAGATTTGCACAAAGGTGGATGAGGCCAGTGGTGTTCATCGTGTCCCTTGTCTGACTTGCCTTTTCGTTTTTTATTTTTTTTATTTTTTCCCTGAAGTATTTTCATTATTAATGCTTGGATGCTCAAAACATGAACAGCTGCCATCATTTCCAGCTCTGAGCCTGCACCAGACCCTCCTCCCCCCCCCCCGTTTCCAGCTGTGAGAAGGCCCAGTTCTGTCTCTCCCTTCCAAAGAGAAAAACGCGCTCAGACGGTGTAAACCTGTAGCTCCACCGGAGAGCGCTGCGGCCGGGTCACTGACAGGAACGCGCTCCATAGAGGAAAAACACCACAGAGAAAGCAGGTTGGTTGAAAGTGTCAGTTTCCAACAAGGCAATACTGCTGTAACCACATAGCATGAGATTAGCCGCTGCGCCAGTTTGCTCTCGACGACCACGTAGAACAAAACCTTCACAGGGCTCGTAGCCACTGCTTGAATTCAGAGACGGCTGACAAATTCCTATACTCATTGAATGTACTGTATTACTGTTTTTAAAGATAGGATGAGCTAATCTAGTCACCTTTTGTTATTGGTCCTTGTTTGGTTTGTCTAAGGTATTTTTTGTATACAAAAGTTTACATTTTTATGTATATTTTTCTTGTGTACAAATGATGTAATATGTGTACAAACACTGTATGTAATATCTGTATATAGTGTGAGAAATTTGATCTTTTGTTTTTGGATGTATAAATAAAACTTGCTGTGAGGTATTTGCTGACAGATTTCTGTGTGGTTTTTATTCAAACTGGTGCAACGGAGCTCAGCTCTGCAGAAACGGGGCGTCTTCAGGTTCTGTGGGACTGGACGGATGGAGTGCCACCTCTTTTCTTACAAGCTAAATGCAAATCGCTCATTCTCAGCAGCTGTAACTAGATGGAGTCAAATGGCCGCTGTCTGCAGGTCATGTGATCCAGGACGAGCCAAGTCACAAGAGAAAACACCAAATTACAGATGAGTATTTTGTCAAATCAAAAACACCCAAATGTTTCCCCTTGTTATTTGATCCGAAGCAGATGCCATTGTCACAGAATTGTCATTTTCTCACTTAGCACACACCAGTGTTTGAAAAGAAACGAGCGGCTCCAACAGATGACCGTCATGTGACGGGTCAGAGAGCAGCAAAGCAGCACTTTTGTTTTCAAGCTTGAAGAGGATCTTGTGATTTCAGATTAATGTGTCAAACAACATTAAGAAACATCTACGACTCAGAAAATAATTTACCTCAGCTTTTGTTACACATTAAAAAAACAGCCATTTGGAAAGTGCTGCTCGGATCTATAAACCATTAACCAAGTAAGGAGCACAAATCCCATTTTTTTCAAACATTTTTTAAAAAGTGCAACATTGTCCAAATCCAAATGAAGTGCTATTCTTAAGTGGAATAGAACAGAGTAAACATTAAATCCAACATTAGATATTTAAACTTGTATGCAAAGAATCTGGCATCTGGACTTTTGTATTAATTGTCACAACACAAACATCAGTACAGGGTATGTAAAGTTTGGGAAATAACGATGGTTTCACTATTTTTCGGGAGATTACACAGGCTAATTCTATTAAATCATTATACATAATATGATTCAGTCTCAGAATCCTGTTTACACAGGGGCCGGGGCGGCCAGACATTATTGAATGGTCACTCGTGGCTTAAGGCGGCTTTGCTTTACAGCAAACAGCTCTGCACAGGAAATGACTGCAATGGTGCTTCGTTTCTGTGTCTGACATGTTCTTTCCAGTTATTGAATCCTTTGGGCCAAAAGCAGCACTCTCCAGTTTAATAAGTGTACAGTTAGAGCCCGAGTCTGTAAAGGCTGACCTCCACATCGGCTGTGGTACACTCCGCCATCCACACCATCTCTTTCTGTTTGTCCTGTGGAACTTTATCAGAAATGTTAGAGCATAATAGTTACTTTACAGAAAAAGATCTAATAAAAAAGGCAAGAAATATTTCAAAATTTGTAAAGATTTTCTTTTTTATTATTATTTTTGATCAATCTTTTGACAGCTTTGAATAAATCCAACGGCACGGTTCTGAATGAGCAAACGTACACTGGACTGCAAACCGCCAGCAGAGTCACACAAAATGAACTGTACATTTTAAAATGATTGCATCCAGTGTTAACTGAAACTTGAAAACATCACAGAACCAAACTTCACTCCCTCTATTACATAATACTGCTCTTTGGGGTTACAAAAATAGTTGAACTAAGTATATGCCAACCTAAACCAAAAAGGGAGAGGGAGAAAAAAAAAGGCTCCCAGCCATCACGCTGCTTTATTGCCATTCGTCACTCAAAATGGGGCGTGAAGCAAATTAAATGGAGAAAACAAACAGTGTAAAAGCAACTAATTATTGTCGCCTTGAGTACCACTTTCTTTTAAAACCCAATCAAAACCTACAAAGTACGAAACACACAAAGAAATATAAGACCATAAGAAGGTGCAAACTATCGCATCTGTCTCAGTTTAGGGTGGAGCACTTTCATGGCACTTTCCAAGTGGGAAGTTGAAATGGAGAGGAGAGGTTTTTTCCACAGAGCAGAAAAATGTATTCATGATATGGTGAACCAGTTTTAAATAATAAAATAAACTGTTTCTACTACACTGGCAAGCAGAGAAGAGTTAGAAACAAGAGAAACCAGATGAAATGTTGTTTTCAAGTAAAGAAATCGACAGAGTTGGAGGAAAAAAAAGAAAAATAAAGATGGTGAGTTGGGAGAATTCTTCTCATTGCAGCACTGGTGACCGGATTGAGGTTAAATGCAGCCTCTAAGATGACCGCAGCACAGAGGGAACAAGGTGCAGGGCGAAGCTGGCTCCATTCAAAGCCAGTTAAACAGCAGGGAGCCATTTTTTCCCAGATATTTTCAGGTAACCGGGGGAGAGGGTTGCAATATACGCACCAAGAACACACTATCCCCAACAAATTCTGTCTGAATAAAGAGATTTCCATGTGGTGCTGATTGGACTGAGCTGTTTGCAGCACAGAGCTCAACACTGGCTGCTTTAAAGGAGAGACAAATGACAAACCTCCCCAGTTAACTATTATTATTATGATCATCATCATGATTTAAAGATTGTTTTGCAGGAGTTATCCTGGAATACATTATACTATAAGAGCTTCTGCCCCTTCATTTACTCTTCCTCTTCCTACCGGTCTGCACTCCGGTCAGACTTTCCAGGCGTACCTGATAAAACGGACACTCAGCTCCTCTCTCCCACCTAGAAAGTAAACCTGCACGTTTTCCAAACCATCAAACTGTTCCTTTAAGCTGTGCTCCACACAGAGCCTCCTGGCAAAAAAAAAAAATAGAAAAACAAAGAAGAACTGAGCCTTAAGATTTATGACATATTTCCTCTTTTCATCAGCAACGATGAAAACTATCAGAGGGTCCCAAACAGAAATGTTAGATTTTTTTCAAATGTGTAATATTTGAGGGGAAAACAAACAAATAAAAATGCACAAAAGGAAAACAATAATATGCAACAACGGGAGGAGGGGGAGGAATGACATCAAAAGACTGAGTCTTACATTTGTAAAGCGCTTACCAGTCACTCCACTGAAAACAAACACTATAAGGCTGATTCAACTCTGTTCCGTTCCACATTCTGTCCATCCTGTACAAGTATGCTACAACACATACTTCTCAGGCCAAGGTTTTCCACTGTTAATACTATCATGCACATTCCTTTTTAAACTACAGGTAGAAGTAGTAACAGTGCGGCTGGCCTCTGAGCACCTCTTGGCTTGGCTTTCTACGTACACCAGAGTCCTCTGTGGTCAGAGAGGTCCACGCCTGTTTGCCTTTTCTGTTCAGGTCCAAACGGAAAGCTGCAGCCAGGCAAAAGTCACACTGCCGTTGTGTGTGCCACACATCCTGTAGTACGGTGCATACCTGCAAAACACTGCACGTCTCATGCTACTGTTTTATGGCTACTTTGATTGAAGTCAAAAGGCATTTATAGTCCAAGTGCAAATAAAGCTGTGGGTACATTGAGGAGATGGTACCACTGCAGCTTCTAGGAAGACTAACAGAGTCTGCTGATGTCTAAACTAGATGATGGCACTGCCCTGTTTATGGAATGAATGGAGGAGACCTTAGTTTATCGGATCAATCCAGCACAAAGCAAAATTCAAAAGAAGAAGAAAAAGGGATGGCAAAGGCAGACTTTCACAGACCTGTCCGTCAACACCCTTATGGAATGAGGCTAGAAACAGCATCCAGCTTTTAATCTGGGGAGACTTCAACAAACCAGCCTTTTCTCGTACATTCGCCAGCAAAATTCCAGCCACAGCAGAGTGTGAATCAAACAAATGGAAAGAGAATTCAGTAATATAGAATAAATCAATAGTAAAACATGACAGAGGGCAGCCATTTTCATTCAGCGGATGAGTACTTAAAAAGTTTACAACAGAAAAGAAGGAAAAAAAAAATCAAAGACTGATATACAAAAGAACAAGTACAAAGGCAAGGCAATCTCATTTGTGGCCACTTTAGTCTTTCAAAATATATACCTCAAAACCATTATCTACAGTTTGCATTTGGCCATTTGTACACAGTGGCTCCAAACGGACCGTTATGTTTCCATGGATCCGTAGAAATAAGCCTATTTACAAGTCTGTACAACCACCCTGTAAGAGCTCCTTCCATCTCCCAGAGGACCCAATCCACTTAAAGCGTGATACCTGAGTTTTCAATAGAATTCCTCGACTCATTCATCACCCATCACTGCACGTTTAGCAGAAAACCTCACACACACGCACGCAGCTAGTTGAGCGCGGTGTCTTTCTGAAAGGATGAAAAGTGTAAACCTTTGTGAAAAAGACAGAAATTCACAACAAAAAAAACTTAAGTCCTTTCAGAAAAACACCCCACCGTTAAAAAAACAACTGAAAAGGAGGTACTAAGAAGGGACATCATGAGTGAACAGCCACTGACTGTCTGGAATCGGATCCTCTGCTTCTGTGCTAGAATATGAACACAAAGTAGGCCAGGATTTGCTTCAGGCAAAAGAGCGATGGAGACCTTGGTGGGAGACTTCATCTTCAGCTGTAGAGGTCAGAGGAAAAGATCTGACTGCTGCAACCAGGGTGGGAAAGTGGGACAGGGCTGGACGCGGCTCTCCTCACTGAGTGGTGGCCGCCCGGGGCACAGAAAACCTGCCAAACGTCAGGGACAAACGTCAACATCTGCAGCTCTCAGTGGAAGACACGCACAGACCTAAAGTCACTAGAGCGAGGAGTGTGTGTAGAGCCTAAACGTTTCTGGACACAGCTCCCACTGCGTATCCACAGCTGCCACCTGTAAGAATTCCTCTGGTTTCTGTTGTCACGTTCAACTCAACTTGAAACTTTTGCAGCTCTGCTGTTGTTTCCTTTTTAGCCCCTGATTCACTGGGCCACCAGGCCTACAGCTGATCTGCAGTGAGCAAAGGTGTGTGTGGAAAGTTCACTACTGGGGTTCAGTGGCTCAGTAATGGCTAAATGACAGTAAATCACTACCAGCAATCTTAAGAATTAGGGGATGGAAGGAGGACGCCTTTAATAATTAAAAAAGAGATTCGCTTTTGGTAACGTACTGTACATGGTTGCCTTTTTTTTTTTAAAACAAAAAAAACAGAGCGGTCTATATCTAAAGGCCATCAGATTTCCCTTTAAGCTGAAGCCCTCGCATCCTGTCTAAGAGGACTTAAATTCAGGAAAAATGTAAGCAAATTCATGGATGTTTTATGCCGGAACAAAAAAAAAAAAAAAGAGTAAAGAGTGACGGTACAAACGTGTCTTACCTCTGAAGTCTCTGAACCAGCTCAGCCACTAAGGAGTCACAGATCCCTGGGTGTGTGTCCTCTGCCAGGAGAATGGCCTCCTTCAGCTCCTCTGCTGCCTCTGGCTTGCCATTACTCGTCTCACTCTTTTCTTTCAACTGTAACAATAGGTACAGGATTACGTGATAAATAAATGTTTAATATTCCCTACGACATGAGTGAGTATTGGGTCATGTGGTGATGGAGGTACCTCAGAAAACAAAGGAGAGAATATCGTAGATAAGCTTTGTGACAAAGGCCTCTTTGGACTCTCCTGCAAATGGAAAAAAGGGTTTTTTTCAAGCTGAAAAGGCAGGTTTACTTGACTAAGAGCACACTTAGGTTATCTTTGAGTGTCACGTGATCATTCGACATAGTGGGTTTACCTGTTTCCTTTCCAGCTCAGCAGGCTGCGCCGCTCCATTTTGAATCTTTTTCAGGTCCTTCTCTCGGATGGTGTTAAAAATCCAGTCATCATTTGCTGCGCTGTTCCCTCCAGATGCCTGACCGTCCGGCTCACTGCAGGGAAACAGGGTTTTGGGAACATCACCAGCCATACTTAGCGCTGCTGGAATGGGCTTAGCAGCCTCTAAGTTAAGGAGGATATGTAGGCAACCCACTCATCAGAGTCATCAGAGCTCGATTCGTCCCGTGACTGCTCCGATTTCCACCTTTTGTATCTGTCAATCAGCTCTGTCAGATAGGTCGTCCGTTTGGCATGCCTCACAATGTACTTATGTTTTAACAACTCTTTGGCCGTTGGCCTCTGTAGGAAACGTACACAGCATACAATATAGTGAATATTACAAGGAGGCTTTTTTTATAGAGTAATTTAGTGAAAACAACTCAACAAAAAGGCTGGATGAGGGTTAGTCTCTCACTTACAAAGCTTGGTTCTTTATTTAAACAGGCTTCAATAAACTCTTTAAGTGGTTTACTGTAGTTTCCTTCCAGTGTTGGTGGATTGTTCTTTGGGATGAGGAATAATACTTTCATAGGATGAAGTTCAGAGTGGGGCGGCTCTCCTTTAGCCAGTTCTATCGCCGTTATTCCCAGTGACCAGATGTCTGCCTATGATGGAGAAAAAAACAAACAAAACACTCACTTAATTAGCACGTCTGTGCACACTCTGTAAGAGCACTGACCAAAACACTATAAAATGACATTTAAAGCCGCCGACTTTTGGGTGTATTTAAGGACGTTCTGCAAAAAGAAGATGATGACAGAGCGGCTGTGTTGACAAGCCACGCCGACACATGTTAAGATTATACCAAAAATAGTTACTGGGTCATTTCTTGTCTAGAAAACCCATCTTAAACATAAAATACGGAAATGAAAAGCACACAGGGGTCAGTGCAGAGCTCAAAGCTGTGGCCTCAGAAACAGCTGAATTAATCACCAGTCCGGCTTCTACCTGCAGCCTGAACGGGCACAGGCTGATGACGTGGGGTTAGTATTGCTTGTTTCATGAAGATGGGAAACAGATCTGTTAATTTCCATTCAACGTTTAGCGGGCCTGTTTTTTAGAATGCCAGGTGACCGTTTACTTTCAAACATCCTAACCTTAGTAATATGGAAACAGGTGTTATTTGGATTTTGATTCTTGGCTTTGCAGGTAATATAAAGGCAACATCTTGCATCTAAAAGCACAGCTGCTTTTCGACACTAAAACATAAGCACGGACACAGGACAGGCTGGTGTAATGACTGACTGACTGACCTTTGAGTCGTAGGCGGACTGCTTTATGACCTCAGGTGCCATCCAGAAGGGTGTTCCGACAAATGTGTTCCTTTTTATCTGTGTGTCCGTTAACTGGCCCGCCACACCAAAGTCTGCCAGCTTCACGTCGCCTTGTTCTGACAGCAACACGTTGGCAGCTGGGAAATGAACGAAGGCAGAGACCCATTATAATTAACACATAATGGCCATTCACAAAAGGGGGAACATCTCTACTACCTGGGTAACATGGTTAATGTTTCCTGTCTCTGACTAAATCTGACTACTTCATTAAAAACATTTTTTTCTTCCTGATTGTAAAACTTTAAACAGGTTTCTCTAAGCCTTTTTGTTTGAATGAATAACATTAAAGACACTTCAGAGAGGGCTGAAGCAGACTGGTTTGTGTTTGGATCTGTTTACATTAAAAAAGAATCAATCACACACGACGGGGAGTGAAATGAAAACTGATGCCAAAGCACACTAAAACATCCCCACAGCAGCTTGATGTCCAGCTCACAGCATATGTCCCATTTTTACCTTTGATATCTCTGTGTATTTTCTTTTCTGAGTGCAGATACTCCAGACCTTTCAGGATTTCCCTCAGGATTGTGGCAATCTGTGTTTCATCCAGAGCACCTGGTTCCAGCTACAGCAAAGGACAAATCCATGACTTTGGTTTGCAGACTTATGGAGAACTGTACACACGAAGACTTATCTAATGTGTACAATTAGTAAATTAATTCATTTTGATACCTTACCAAATCAAGTGCTGATCCTCCACCCAAATATTCCATAATAATCCATAATTTTGTGCCCTGAAAAATAATAAAATTAGCAGCTCCGTCAGACAGTGTTTAAAGATGCTGATGATCAAAAATAGCTCATAAGAAATATTCTGTTATTAATATACAATATAGAATTACCTAATCAATACATAAAAGCTCCAGAGGCTTTTTTTTTACTTTAAGTAAATAATATCATGCATGGGACTCCAAATCGGAGCTGATTTTAAAAACAAAACTGAACAAAACTGTGAAACAATGGACTTCAAAAGATCTCCAACACTCCAGATGTTAAAAGAGGACAGATGCACATTCTTTAAAGAGGTAAAGTAACACTGTAATAATTTTACAGATCAATGACAAAACAATTTCCCTGCAGCAGGGCAGCTGTTGGGATGGGGCTGAAAAATTACAGTATGAGAAAATGTGAATTTATTTAATCATGTCTGTGAAATGGAGGAAAAGAAGCAGGGACAAAATAAAAGATTACTCTTAAGAAATAAAAGCAAAAAAATTAAACACAAAAAGAAAATGCCTGAGGCCGTGTTTGATTAAAGATGATGAAATAGAAAAGACCACTTTCTCCGATAATCAGGGTGAATACAACTTGAGGAGACCTCAGCTAAAGCAGCTACACACAGAATGTTGTTGATGATCATCATTACTTTAAACCTCCCACAGTCCCAACCTTATTAAATCAAGGAACACTCGTTCTATGACAGAAAACATATGCATCTCTTAACTTAGGCCAGCTTTAGCGACCGTTTTAAACTTGTCTGCATGTGATGCCACACACAGCCATGGCTTTGGCGGAAATCAGCAACTCATGTCACAGCTTGGAGTTTTCAGCCCGTCACACCAGTTCCACAGAAACCACAGACAGTTTTTCTTATGATTAATAGTTCCAACCATAGGGAGGCCATTACTTTAATGTGCTGCTGCACTTGCATTAGAACACTGGATGTCTGTAATCTTAGCACAATATTGGCTGAAGCGGTGGAGCCTGACAGCTGAGCGTCCTGAGGTTTATAGATGAAGGCAGAGGCTTACATAAAAGCAGCGGTTCATAGACACAACTGAAAACGGTAGTGAGCAACACAGTCAATGCAAATCTGAAGTCAACACATTAAAAACAACTGACAACAAGATCTTATAAAGGGAAGCAGCAAGTGTGTGTAATTATGCAAACAACTAGTAACAACTAAACAGCATGTTTCACCAGTGTGATGAGATAAGTCTGTCTTCATAACTTCATATTTTAGTTCTCTATCTTGACCTGACCTGCCCTGCATGAAAAGCCAATATGATTAGAAGTAAAAAATAAACAAATAAAATAAAAATCAATCCAAATGTAGGCCAAAGCAGTAAATAAAACATGTTCTACAGTTTTTTTTAACAGCAGGCGCATTTTGATGCACCAAAGAATGCACCCATGCCATGCAACCCTGTGCAAGTGTGTTGCATCATGTGATTTGTGTTCAAAATCTCCTCTCTGCTGTCAGAGCCTGGATAGACATGATATCTGGTGTTTACACCCTTGCCCCAAAAATATCCAAAACCGGGGAAACGGAAACAGAAAACAGAGCGTCTCTGGGGATAAACACTAACAAAAGTGGAGTGGAGGCTGAAATATTCAGTACGGGAAACTGGCATTACAAAATGCACTGCGGTACACAATGATACAAAAACCAGTATTAGCTATTGTTGTTTGCTTCTTTCCTTTCAAAGTAATTTTATATGGTCCTATAAAGTTACTCTGGTTTTGAAACTAGCTCTACAGTAAAAGTGATGTCAAAAAGCTGAGTTTTGGTTACATGCAGCAGTTTTGGGAGTTTGACTACTGCCTTTGAGCTATTGTGAGTGTTGCGATATGCTTCATTTCAGTCCATTATGATGCCGCTTACAAACAGCAACATTAACAGTACTCAAAGCAAGCAATTGCAATGCCAACCTACAGCGTGACTTGTTTCCTCACTAATCTGTGCCCTATTTCACAGGCAATAGTTGCTCCATTTCCCATTTGAATTATTTATTGACCTAGATTGAACATTCTTGCTTGCAGGAACAGACTTTTAACATATCCATTATGTTGAATATAGACTATTTCAAGTTCACCAAGCAAGGCTTACTGGGATTGAAGCTTACCTTGAGATAGGATCCAAAGTACTTCGTGATAAAGGGACTGTCACACTGGCTTAGAACTGTGATTTCCTGTTGAATGTCTTCTATATCGTCCTCTGCCTCCTCTAGATCAATGATTTTGATGGCCACAACTTTTTGAGTCCGATTGTCGATGCCTTTAAAGACTTCTCCAAATGATCCTTTCCCTATCCTGTCCAGTTTGGTGAAAAGTTCCTCAGGATCAGCTCTGAAATTCTACAAAAACATGGAGAACAAAAGTTGCAACTTAGATTACACAAAACCACAGGAAACACACAAGCAAACACATGACAAATAAAACTATCTTACATAAAGAATAAAAGGAAGTGTTACATTGACTCTGTATTGTCTAATTGTCTGCCTTTATTGCAAATTTTCTTCCCAATGATGGATGGAATTAAAATGTTCACAATTAAGAAGATAGCATCAAAAGTGTTTTGCAGCACCAGTTTCATATTTTCCTACAGATAGAGCCCATAAACAGCCTGAAATCTCTGAGCCTGTGTGTTGCAGATGATATTATGAATAAACACCCTCTGCAGCTCATTTCCTCCTCTTTAGTTTTAGTAATTATATTATTTTCTTCAAGTTTAAAACATATGTCCTATATCCAAGTCTGGAGCCGGAAAAACAAGCTACATTCGAGACATTTCTCCAGTCCCTTTCATCGAACTTGGGCACAATTTTTGTATGTTGGCACATTACTTTATAAAAGAGCGCAAACCGAAATAAATAAAACAATCTTATGTTTTCAAGAGTGGAAGAATGATCCTATTCAATATTTCTTTTAAGGCAACTTCACAAAATGAAAAGTCAAGCTGGATTGTAACATGCAGTTGGTAAGTGTTACATGACAAACTGCATGTTACAAACTATACTTTACTAAATACAGTGACATTAAGCAGTCTTTATTAGTTTTTTCTTAAACCCTGACCAAAACCATTTAATTGGGCTCTTATACAAAGATGTTGACATTCTAAGAAACATATGGCACTATAAAACGAGCGTCAGAACTTGATCTAATTCTGTCATTACTCATTAATCCTATCAAGTGCTGACAAGCTAACAACCTTACATAATTTGCCACTTTGGTCTAGCCTTGACCTCTGCATGCAATGCAACCTTTTAACCCCCTTCACGTCAACTCACCAGCTTTCATCTACACCAGCATCATCACACAGCACAACACACACGTCCATCTTGACATCCTAAATTATTGACAGAGCTAAATGGCTTATTTTCCCATGGAGAATTAGCGAGGAAAGTTGCGGCCTTCACGTCGGGCGATTAAACAATAAAAATGACTGGAAAGGTATTTTTTCAATTTATATTTCAACAAATAACAACCCAAAAAATATTTCAAGCAGTTAAACTTGGTGATTTATTTACAAGGTAACCTAGCTCTACGATGGGCATCTCCTATCTCAGACTATAAAGCTTTACAGTCCTCCCCTGAGGGTAGTTTACTGTAAAACGCCTTACACAGATGAGGAGCTGCACTTTGATAAACGCGCAAAGAGGGGGCTGCTAGATTTGATAGCAAAAGGACTTTGGGATGAAGACAAAAAGACAGCGGTGCAGAACAAAGCGTGGTAGAGACAACACAACCAAATACTGTCATAACACTGGTGTGGTCAGTCATCCAGGTGAAATTTATAATGTTGAGGCTGACCTCTGAAAAAACAATGGGAGAAACAACAGGAGCACTGTGACCACAGGCTACTCATGATGGGAATGTACTTGCCATATCCGCAGTCAGCAGGTTTACAGCGGCAGCTAAAGCTGCCTGAACCTCCCCCTAAAAGCATGTGTTTGACGCTCTCCCATCTGAACAACACAACTGTGAGGGTTTAGTGTCAACCACACACACCACACCCTTAGGGTTTGAAGGCTGGCTGCCAGCCCTTTGACTGCTAACAAGCTCCTATCTGAATTACAGCATTAGGGCACATCTGCTGTTACCCTTTTAAACTCGTTTATATGCGTGCACATGCAAATCAGTCGCTCATAATTGGAATGAGAGATCATGGCCTATAATCCATCGGCTGCAGGTAATCGTACATAAGTTGTGCCATGCAACTCCACATTGCAGTAGATGTCACATACAATGAAGACCACAATATTCACGAAAATATGTGGTGAGATACCATTAATTAGAAAAAAAGACCCATAAAAAAGGCCACTGTATTGAGAAATATTCCAGAGCTAATAATACATTCAACACAGTTGCATTATAAGTAGATAACTATTCATATCTGACAGTAAATAATTTGGTGTAAACAGTTGAAAGAATTAGTCCAGTAACAGACAGATAACACTCTGATCTGAAAAGAGGCTTTATAACCTGTCATGCTTGAATCTGTTCGAGCAGCTAAATAGATTTTTAGTTTTATTTGAATACATCTAGGCTTTGGTGGACTTCTTTTGGCTGACATTTTAAAAAGAATCAATAAGGATGCATAATTACCTTTAGGTGAAAACTGTCAAGCTAATATATATCAAATTTAAGTGTAATTACCAGTAGTAAGTTTTTATGATTATTTTTTGGATTAGTGTAGACACCTAATGTCATTCTGGAGCTAAATCTATAATAGTAATGTAAACAAATGTTTTCTTAAGTGTATTTAGTCAAGTAGGAGAAATAAAAAACAACAAAAATACTTACCTACCAAAGAAGAGGAGAGAAAAGTGTGACAGTAGTTTCACTAAGTTGTGAGTTAGACATGTGGTTGCAAAATATTGTAATTCTCATATATATATTGCTGGTAGACCTCTCAAAGAAGTTGCAAGACACCTTGCTTCATCTATAAATGATTAAATCTGGTGGCAGCTGCATTCCTGATCATAACCCAAAGAGTGACATCTAGACTGCTCCTAAACATTACAAAAAACAACCATGTATCTCCAGCTTGAAGGGAGTCAACTAAGACTGCTGCATCAAATTATCACATTGGATAATATTCACTTTTAGGGATTAGTTAAACACAAAAACATTACATTCAATGGTAACAAAAAAAAATATATACAACAACACAACAAATCTAACTACTAAATGTTGTTTTTAATGGCCCTTTATGTCACAATATGTCCATGTTTGGCACGCTTGGACCGACAAAAACAGTAACATGGACACGACAAACATCTGGTAAATACTTAGGAGCTGATGCTGCAGTGAATGTTGTCAGGGCCAATAAAATGAGAAGAGAAATCATACGATATGACCAGTCGTTTATGACAGCGTTCTGCCCGAAAACTTACATCACTGCTGCTTTTATCAGCGGAAAGCAAAGGTGACAACGGAAAATGTGACACTGATAAAGCCACCGCAAAAGATAAAGTTTTCTACGTATGCCAAATACGTTCCTGACTTTTATGAAGAAACTTTAGGTAAAATACAGCGCTCTGAACGAATGTAACCCGACATAAGAAGTTAGCAAACAGCCGTGGAATGTGTATTTTTTACCTGAATCCCTGGGAGTCCACTCCGAATAGGTAAGTGAGCCATGGCGTCCAATGAGCAACGATGACGCCTTTTCTCTTCTGATTAGCTTTTCTCCTCAGTTGAGCAGATACTTCTTTGACAGACCCCACTTTGAGTGCAGCTTGATTCTGGGAGGCTGGTTAAAGCATTAATAGGGAGACGTCTCTCGATTCTTTAAGAATCCGCTCGACTTGTCGGTCTCCACTTTCAGCAGCCTGCCCTGCTTCACCTCACTCGCCTTCCGCACTCAGAGATAGCTAACGTTAGCCACTCCAGCCGCTGGTTAGCAAACAATTAGCAGAATAACTGGAGTCCGGCCGTATCTCTGCGCCTGCCTGTCAGTTGCCCGGTCATCAAGCAAAAGCCCGACGGAAAAGAGACGCAGAGACTAAACAGATACACAGCGCTCTGTTGCTAAGTTGCTTGTTGTTCTATTCTCTCATCACTTTTCCATGTCTCCCGGCGCCATCTTGATTAATGTCATTTTCATTTTTCCGGTTAACCAATCACAGCGAGGAAGACAGTACAGCAAACACGTCGTCATTCGTGAACTACAAAAACGTCACGAGAAGTGGGTGTTCAGACAGGTTGCAATGTTAAATAGAGAATCTTAAGTATAATATAAAGAAAAAACGTGAATATATATAAACACACACGCACTGCGCTCATTTACAGTAGCTGTTTTGCCATGTACTTTTTCCCATTAGTTTGGAGTCCAATTTCTTTTTGCTGATGTTTCGTTCATATTTCTCCGTTTCATTTCTTTTCAGATGTTCGTGATTGTCTTTCCCCGGTTTCCACACGGAGCCCATGATAATATTTTTTTTGCAGCTGATGGTTGTCGGGTTTTGTAATTTTGTTATTAAAAAAGTTCCCATGTCCATAAATGGTGCACATTGTGGTTTTGATTTGTGGATGTCACAGGCGCAAATCACCAGCTGAGGAAATGTTTCCTCAAGTGAGCACTAGGGTGTGATCGTCTCAAAAAGCTGCCTGCAGAAAAAAACAAAACAAAAAACAGCATTTTTGAATGCGTTTTTTCCTGTCCAGGTTCCAAAGCCGACGCTGTGTGGGGAGGTGAGCCCATCTGTATCAAGTGTTTCCCTACCAATAAGGTGGCGTTACATGTCCCACGAGCCAAGTTATGCCCCCCCCCACACACACACACCTGTCACCATCGAGGTCTTCAATCCTAATTTTGATGAGGATTTAAGTTGCTGTTGTGAGTATGGGGATTGTTCAATGTTTATTTTTGTGCTCAAAATGCAGTACTGATGATGCATTCAATTGCAGAAAGGAATGACTTTCTCCATAATTTACATATAAATGAAAATGTGAAGATGTAATCAATGGTAAGCCGTGATTCAAAATCAAGAGACTTCCAATTTCCAATATACACCACAACATCCTCTGAGGGTGAGGATTGTTTGAGAAAGCCTTACACAGTGGTATAGATTCCACTGTACAAATCCATATAGCTCACAGCATGACACATTTTCAATTGTGTAAGTCGCAAAACAGAATGCCAACGCTGCGTCTTTATTTGTTTTTAAGTTGTTAGTGTTTTAGATATATGTTCATATGCACGGAAATAAGTGGTTTTCCTCCCAAAATTTCTGCCATTTAAGGGTTACAAAACAACCAAGCAATTTTTATGCTAGCAATAAAAAAATTGTAATGTATTAGTTCATCTGGTACATTGAACAACTCAGTGGCCCAGAAAACATAAACATGCTGTTTAATGTATTGCCTGCTGTCCATACAACATTGATAACAGAAGCTAACACACATGAAAGTTGAAGGGAAACATAGTTTATTGACAGGAGATAATTAAAAACTATATAAATTAATACTGCATGTTAATATGATAGATAGATAGATAGATAGATAGATAGATAGATAGATAGATAGATAGATAGATAGATAGATAGGCATGCACCTTCACAGATAACCACAATGTTACATATAACATAATCTTTATAATTTGTACAAGATTATGGTATAATTTTGCCATAACAGTATAAAATATTAAAAACAGACACACATGCACTTATGTGTATCTGAATGCATCTCTCAACACACAGAGGCAGCTACTGTCTGTCTCAGTGATTAGACCAGAAAAGGTCCTAATGAAGTAACAAAAACAACAACACACACCCAGACAGGTTTGAACCCATGGACTAATAAATTCATATCAGACATTGGAGATAGGGATGCCTGCTGATTGGATTTAGGTTTATTTGGATTTTTCATCGTCTTCACTACTGCTAACCGAGTCTCTTTTAACCATTTCAATCTCTGCTTTCTGTTGCTTGCTTTTATCATCCTCGTCGTCATCATCGACCTTCTTGAACTGGGCCTCAATTTCTGCAGGATCGATGTAGGTGTAGAAATATGCCATGATGGAGAAGATTATGCACACTGCCACCAAGAGAGATGCAAACAGGACATACTCTGCCCACTTTGGAAGCAAAGGAGAGACACAAACATGAGAAAGGGCATTGATACATGGACATTTGTTATTTCAAATGTATAGTTAATGTATAACACTGTTGGACATCTATTTTTTCTATTACCTGTTTGGGAAGCTTTGCAAGCTCTGCCACAATCAGGACAATAAAGTTGCCAATAGCAACAGTGAACAACCAGCCAGCTTGCAGCACTGCTTTCATGTTACTCGGTGCCTTAATGACAAAAGGAGCCATCCATTATGAAAGCACAACATTTGTTCAAATACAAATATCCCAGGTCTTAATTCCTGAAGGCTTGAACAGGACAACACAGTATGTGTTGTGCCCTGTATTGTATTCTGGATGGTGCAGTTAGGACACAGTAGGAAGGCATTTCTGGCGTACGTACCTGTGAATAAGAGAACTCCAGGCCAGTAACAGAAAACATGACTTCACCAGCAGTGATGAAGAAGTACTGTGGGATTTGGAGAGCCATGTGAACCGAGTTTGGCTTGATGTCCTCTGCTGAGGTTATCTCCTCCTGACACTGACACACATAAAAGGATAATGTTATATTTTTTGGTAATACACAGAATTTAGTTTATCTATTTGTAGAAATGTATATTTTCCCATAAAAAATCCTATGAAATGACCAAATCCAGCTAATTAGAATCCACGTGTGTTTAATCGGAACAGTTATGATGGAGGCAATTATAAGTTGCCCT